TTCGGCCGGGCCCAACTTTTAATACCCTCCACCATTTGGTACAAATTTGGCAATTTCCAAAAAAAAAAAAAAAATAAATAAATAAATAAAATAAAATAAAATCCGTTAAAAATTCTGCTAAAATTTTAAAAATACCGAATGCTTATACGACGACTTGGACCTGCATAGGCAAATTTTGTCATAAGTTATTACAATATTTAAATGCGAAACTTGAAGAAAAATCTGTTTATAATGTAGCTAAAATCATCAAATTACCGAATATGAGGGGTACCGTTATATGGGGGCTATACGAAAACGTGGACCTGCACAGACAATTTTCTGGCATGGGCTGAAGTATCCAATACGAACTTCACATGCGAAATTTGAAACAATCCCGGTAAATAATGTCGCTAAAATCATCAAAATACCGAATATCGGGGGGTGCGGTATATGGTATAAGACGTGGACCTACATGACCCATTTTCTGTTTTATGCTGCAGTATCTATTACGAACTTCAAATACCAAATTTGGAACGATTCCGTTAAATAATGTCGCCAAAATCATCAAAATACCGAATATCGGGGGGTATTGTTATATGGGACCTATACGAAGACGTGGACCTACATGGCCCATTTTCTGTTTCATGCTGCAGTATCTATTACGAACTTCAAATACCAAATTTGGAACGATTTCGTAAAATAATGTCGCTAAAATCATCAAAATACCGAATATCGTGGGGTATTGTTATATAGGGGCTATATGAAGACGTGGACCTACATGGCTCATTTTTTGACTTAGGATGTAATATCCAAATTTGAAACAATTCCGGTGAATAATGTCGGTATTTACGAACTTAACCTGCCTACTGGCAATATATACTTGTGTGCAAAATTTTAGCCTTCTATCTTAATTTGTTCGAAAGATAGATAGATTTCAACAGACAGACGGACAGACAGACAGACACACAGACAGACAGACGGACATGGCCAAATCGTCTTAGAATTTTACGCTGATCAAGAATATATATACTTTGTTGGGTCTGACATGAGTATTTCGAAAAGTTACAAACGGAATGACAAAATTAATATACCCTCCATAGTATGGTGGAGGGTATAAAAAAATGGAAATATGAATGATATATATATTAATATATTAATATATACTATAAGTATAGTATAATAATTGTACTATAATTAATATATCCTGGAAAGGTTCTTTAATCCTTGAAGTTTAAAATTTTAGAAATTTAACTGAAATCAATTAGATTTAAGATATGGTCTTAATATTTGAAAGAAATAATTGCTGCATATTTGCTATTGAAAAATTTTCAGGCCCGATGTAATGTAGCATCTGTATCCCCAATGACCCTTAACACAATTATATATCCCTTGGACATGCTTCAAAAATCGTAGATAAATTTCATATTTGATTTTAAAACAAACTTAAAATTATTTCCAAATGGTCCTTATATATTATCGGCGAAAAAAAAATCTAAAATAATTGCATTCTTCATAAAAATCGTTTTTAAAATTTTCGATACATGTATGTATTGGATAGATATGGTTTTATAATATACCAAATTTCCAAAAAATCTTTAAAAAAAATTAAAAAAAAAACAAGTAAAAAGCTGTAAGTTCGGCCGGGACGAACTTTAAATACCCTCAACCATTTCGAACGAATTTGACAATTATCAAAAAATTCTTTTAGTCTTAAAAATACCAAATATAGCCGTCATATTAGGGTCTAAACGACGACGTGGACCTGCATATGCAATTTTTGTCATAATATTCAAATGCGAAACTTGAAAAAAAAAGGTGAATAGTGTAGCTAAAATCATCAATATAGGGAGGTACTATTAGGGAGGTACTATTATTATATATTTGGGGCTATACCAAAATTTGGAGCTGCTGAGAAAAATTTCTGCCTTAGGCTGCAGTATCCATTACAAACTTCAAATAACAAATTTCAAACAATTCCCATGAATAATGTCGCTAAAATCATTAAAATACCGAATATAGGAAGGTACCGTTATTTGGGAGCTATACCATAATGTGGACCTATATGGCCCATTTTCAATACCAAAAGTCCTGCAGACATAATATATATTTGAGTAATATTTTATCAATCTATTTGATTTCGTTCGGAATCTAGAGTGATTTCCACAGACGGACGGACATCGCTAAATCGACATAGTATTTTATGCTGATCTAGAATACATCTATTTTGTGGGGTCTAAAAAGTATATTTCGAGGTGTTACAAAAGAAATGACAAACTTAATATACACTCCATACTATGTTGGAGGGTATAACAAGTTTAAAGTATCAGTCTGTTCTGCCGACGGACATATACCCTCAGCCAATGTCCGATTATTAAAATATATTTGGACTTCTGTTATGATTATTCAAATGGTTGACCCTATATGGAGTGGGTTCTGAAGGAATGAGCCAACACTGTCCATTTCATATCGCACCTAAATAAATACTATATAAATATTGCGACGTGCCAGGTTTGGTGTATATTAGTAACTTCATCATAAGATCCACATTCATCCGAAGTTTCTGGTTTTTGTTTTTATGTGTGAAATTTGAAGAGAATTGAATGCTTATTACTTCGAGCGTTTGGTTTCTCCAAATCTTTAACCCTATGTGGGGGAGGTACCAGAAGAAATGGTTCGATCTCTACCATCTTTAAAACATATCTTATGTTGATGGAAATATTGAGATGTGCCAAGTCTGAATGGAATCTGATGTTAATTTCGCGTTTTGTAAGCTCCATGGATATCCAATATTTTAAACCTTCGTGGGGGAGGTACTGGAAGGAGAGTACTGATATATCCCATCATCACACCAGACTTTGGGATAATAAAAATATTCTGATGTGTGAAATTTAAAGCATGTCGGACTCTTACATCACATTTTGTAGGAGTTGTAATTATTCAAAATGTTGACCCTTTGTGGGGGAGGTACCAGAAGGAGTGGACCGATATATCACATCGTGATAACAGATCTTGTGTTAGTAGAAATAACGGGATGTCTGAAATATAAAGAGAACCTGATGCTTATTTCGGATTTTATTAACGTGTTGATTATTCATAACTTTGACCCTTTATGGGTGAGGTACCAGAAGGCATGGTCTTACCGATTTTATAACAGATTTTGTGTTGATAGAAATATTCAGATAATGGATATTCAAAATGTTGATCCCTTTGTGGCGGAGGTATCAAAAGGAGTTAACCGATATATTCCATCTTAACACCTGATCTTGGGTTAGTAAAAATATTTGGATGTGTGAAATTTGAATGAAATCGGACTCTTATATCACATAGAATTAGAATTGTAATTATTCAAAATGTTGACCCTTTGTGGGGGAGGTACTAGATGGAGTGGACCGACATTGTCCATTTTCGCACCTGACCTAGCACTGACGCAAATATTAGGATTTACAAAGTTGGAGGAAAATCGGATTATTGTTTCTCTTTCTGTGCAGAAAATATATTTTTTTGAAAATGTTGACTTTTTTTGGGGGAGGTACCAAAAGGAGTGGACCGATATTGCCTATCTCCGAACTCGATCTAAGTTTGACAAAAATATTACGATGTAACAAGTTTGGACCCCCTTCGAGAGTTATAGTGCACACCAGCCAGCCAGTCAGACGGACGGATGGACATCGCTAGATCGACTCAAAATGTTCTGAAACGGATTTGGTCTAAAGAGACTTAGGGTCAACAACCGTTATTTCGACTAAGCAAGTTTTGACCTATCAGATCAGATATATCCTCTCTAGCCATATGACTGTGGGTATAAAAATCCAGGATTGCAATCTGTTGTATTTTCGTATAGTATTCAATAGTCTTAGAAATCTACAATATTTGCATTGGGGTTTGAAGAGTATCCTTGTCAAATACAAGATATTTGCATTGATCCTTGAAGAAAAATTTTAGAAAAATTTAGATATAGCTCCCATACATATCTTCGTCCGATTTGCGTTTTATTGGCCACCAAACGTGTAATATCAGCTCGAATAGTATGGAATTTTGCACATACAACCAAATTAGGCCTGAAAATAAGTATGCCAAATTTTATCGAAATCGGTTTAGAAATAGGTATAGCTCCCATATATATTGTTCATTCGATTTGTTATTTTTGTCCCCCCGCAGCCGTAATAGGTACTCTGTAAGAACAATATTTGGGGAAATATATCAAACACAGCTCTATAATTCATTTGCTAAATTTTATCGAGATCGGTTCAGATTTGGATATAGCTCCCATATATATCAAATGGGCAATACAAGTCCGAATTTAAAAGATATTAATGCTTCGGCATATTTAGTCTTTTGAACTTTAAATTATAATTATAATCATAGCGTGTATGATTGAATTCTGTCATAAAAATTTTTTATTGTTATTTGGAGCTCTACTAAAGTGGTGCAGGGTATCATAAAATCGGTCTCGGCTGAATTTAAGACTTTATTTATTGGTTTTTAATTGCCATAAATCTTCTGTTTGGTCTATAATTTAACTGACTCAATGGATTCTAACGTGGTTTTCTTGTCGGCTGAGGTAAGCTCAGCTGTATCCTGGGTCTCCATAAGGACCCACTAAACCTTATGGAAAAAGATGAGTAGAATTTTCCCTTTCTTTTTGGAGCTGTAAATCACATGTTTTATTGATTTAAATACTAAATTAAAATATACTAGTGTTCAAATACGATAAGATGGATATGGAATGTAGGATGGCGAGTGGACTTCGGTGGTGTTCGGGAATCCGATATTTTCGATGTCTCGTAGGGAAAAGGGTGAACGTCTTGTGGACAAAAGTGAACTAAGCTGATTGGTACCCAATTTATAATCTAATCACTTGTAATTTAATATTTTAAGTTCTCATGAGGTAGTTTTAAAATTCGCCAAAAAAATACCCAATATTTAGTATTCATATGGTTACGGCTCCCATATTCATATTTATTTTCATATTTTATATATTACACTTTAAATAACAATTATGTTTTTCTTTCTCGTTTCAGAAAATTTAAAATAATATATATTTACGAGTAAATATTTTGGTGGCGAAATTTTAACAATAACAACAACTACCCACAAAAAAGAGAAGTGCTAATGATAACAAATATCCAGCTAATTATGAAGTGCCAATTGGACAAAGCGTTGAAACAAAAAACCAAATCAAATTAAATTTGTGAAAAGTTGTCGCTGAAAAAAAAAAAAAAAAAACCAAACGTGAAAAATATTTGGAAATAAAGTTAACATCTCAATTAGTATTACTGTTGACAAATTCATACAAAAGTGCCACCACATAATAACAACGCCAGCAGCAACAAAAACAACAACAAAACATATTTGCACAACTAAAAATCAAATAATTAAATTTGATTAATACCGGATTACCCGTTGACTGCACATTTTTCGTTTTTCATACGGCGAGCGAGCGAGCGACCGAGTATTGGTCGGTTTGGATTGGACGTCCTGTTTTGGTTTTACACACACATTTTTTATACATATATATGTTGACAAGTTTGGTAAGTCAAATAAATAATTAAAATTAAAACAGCATAATGATAATAACAATAAACGATAAATATAATTGACAAATCCATAAAATTGTGATGACAAATTTGAGAGTAACCCCACAACACAACGTAGTTTCGATTGACCTTGGAAATACCTATTTCGTTGTGAGATGAGATGACAAATTTTTGTTGGTGGTATTACGATTAATGTCATCATCGTGGTGATAATGTCAAAACATATATTGAAAATATTGTTTAGCAGGAAAAAGAGAAATGGAAAAGTCATATAACTTGGTATGGGTAGAGTAACATGCCAAGGATGTATGAGTCAACCAGTAAAGGAAGTCTTAAAGTCAGGCGGGGCCGACTTTATGATACCCTACATCACTTTGCTAATTTAGTAGAGCTCCCCATAACAATTAAAAGTTTTTATGGGAGAATTCAATCATACACGCTATGATTATAATTCAAATTTAAACTTCAAAAGACTAAATATGCCGAAGCATTTGTATCTTTTAAATTCGGACTTGTATTGGCCATTTGATGTATGTATATGGGAGCTACATCCAAATCTGAACCGATCTTGATAAAATTTGGCAAAGGTAAGTTATTTCTGAGCTATATTTCATATATTTCCCTGAATATCGTTATTACGGAGTGCATATTACGGCTGTGGAGAAGAAATATAACAAATCGGATGAACAATATATATGGAAGCTATAGCTATATCTGAACCAATCTTCACCAAATCTGACATACTAGCTTCTAGACTCAATTCGGTGGTATGTGTAAAATTTCGTTTGGTGCACAATAAAAGGTAAATCGGACGAAGTTATATATGGGAGATATCTCCAAATCCGAACCGATCTCGATAAAATTTGGCAAAGCTATTTCAGAGCTGTATTTCATATATTTCGCCAAAATATTGTTGTTACAGAGTGAATATTACGGCTGCGGAGGACTAAAATAACAAATAGGATGAACAATATATATTGAAGCTATAGCTATATCTGAACCGATTTCGATCAAATTTGGCGTACTTATGTTCAGGCCTACTTTGGTTGTATGTGCAAAATTCCATACTATTCGAACTGATATTACACGTTTGGTGCACAATAAAAGGCAAATCGGACGAAGATATATGTATATGAGAGCTATATCTTAATCTTTACCGATTATCTCCAATTTCAATAGGATTCGTTCTTGGGCCAAACAAATGATTTGTTCAAAATTTCATCTGGATTGGGTAATTAATGCGAACTGTACTTTGTTCACAAAAATAAATGGACAGACGGACGGACGGACATACGGACGGACATGCATAAATCGACTCAGTATGTGATTCTATGCAGATCTCGTTTCCTTTTGCCTGTTACAAACAAATGCACAAAGACATAACGCCCTGACCACAGTGTTGTGTAGAGTATAAAAATGGCTTAAAAACATGATTTATGGGAAATATATTTACAATACATAAAATGGAATTTGAGAGAGGATTGATGTCAAATTTATTAAAGTAGGCTACAATATTTTCAAATTTTAAATATTTGAAGTGCTTTATTATAGTTTTTAATTTGATTAGAAAAATTCTTGAAAAAACATACGAATAATTTCATCGGTTTACAAATCCTGCAAAGGTACTGGGTGAGATGAAAAAACTGCAATCAACTTCAGAATGATGTTACTGCTAAGCCACTCGTCCGACAACTGTTAACATTATTCCAGTGACAGCTAATTATATTTTTTACAAGCGTACAAAAGCATGTTGGTTAGAATTTTCCAGAAAAAAATTTATTCGGAATTAAATTGTGATAGTGTGATTTCTTTATATTTGGCTGGAGAACCACAAGGGGCTAGCATTAGAACACTCCAGCATTTAAATGTAAATAAATCTTTTGTGTCTCGTATCATCGCTTGTTACCGTGATACTGGTAGCGTAGCTCGACGTCAAGCAAGTGGACGTGGATACCCTCCACGATTTTGAACGAATCTGGAAACAAACAAAAAAAAAAAAAATCCGTTAAAAATTCTGTTAAAATCTTAAAAATACCGAATACAGCCGTTATGTTAGGGTCTAACGACGTGGACCTACACAGGCTTATAAGCCGTTACCATATTCAAATTCGAAACTTGAAATCGTACACATACCGTATATAGGCTGGTACGGTTATAGCAGAGCTATACGAAGACATTGACCTGCATAGACAATTTTCTGCCACAGGCTGTAGCTTCCATTACGAACTTCAAATACGACAATTTCGGTGAGTATTGTACCTAAACTTGTCAAAATACCAAATATAGGAAGGTACTGTTATATGTGGGCTACATCACAACGCGGACCTGCACAGACTGTTTTCTGTCATGGGCTGGAGTATCTTTTACGAACTTCACATACCAAATTTGAAACAATTCCGGTGAATAATACCGAATATAGGCAGGTACCGTTATATGGGGGCTATACGAAAACGTGGACCTGCATAGACAATTTCAATTCGTTCGAAAGATAGCGTGATTACAACAGACAGACGAACATCGCTAAATGGTCTTAGAATTTTACGCTGCTCACGAATATATATACTTTGTTTGGTCTGACATGAGTATTTCGAGGAGGGTATAAAAAGCGACTTGATCGAAAACCCGCGTCGAAGTGGCCGAAAAATGACTCATGTTCAGCTGAACATATCGCAATATTCCATTCGGCAAATATTGAAAAATAATCTCGGGGTCAAGCCATTGAAATGTAAAAAAGTGCAAGAACTTACACCGCAACAGAAAGAAAATATACTCAAAAGAGCTAAAGAGTTGCTTCGCTTGGCCGAATTTGGTTTTCTCCGATGAGAAAACTTTCGTTGTCCAGCTGTTTGTAAACAAACAAAATTATCGTCTTTATTTGCCAAAGAGGTCAGGTGAAAATGTGCACCTTTCGGTTGGCTACCAGAACTCGAGCACCGGCCATGGTGATGGCGTGGGCCGCCATTACAGGCGATTGTCTCCCTCTGCTCGTATTAATCGACCGTGGCATCAGAATAAATGCCGAATATTATCGCGAAAATATTCTGGAGGGTGTATTAAAGCCTTAGGCACGCAAACATTTTGCCACAGACCTTTGACATTCCAATAGGACTCAGCACCATCGCTCTCAGCACGCGCCACCCAAGAATGGTTACAAAATGAGATTCTTCGCCTGATTTCCAGTGCACAATGGTTTTCCGTATACCAATCCTGTGGACTATTGTGTCTGGAGTATTTTGGAAAGCGAGGTTGGCACTAAAAAATACCAAAGTGTCGATCACCTCAAGCAAGGGCTTGGCCGGGAATGGGCCAAAATACCGCAGGGCAACATTCGGGTAGAATCTGACGGTTTCATTGGCCGTTTGAAGGCCAAAATTCGTGCCAAAGGTGACCAATTCGAGCAAATCTAAACTTATTCTAAAATTTTAAGCTATTTCCGACATTTTTTGCCTTCATTCAATAAAATTTTTAAAGAGAAAATGTAAAAATCATGGCGTTTGACTTTGTTGTTATTGGCACCTACGTCAATATTGACCGGCCTGTTCGTCTATTTGTGATTTCGCCGGGTTAATAGAAAATTTGACCTTTATTTAACACAAATGTCATGGTCTATTTCACCCGTTAAATATTACCCGATAACCATCCAAATTGGAATGCTTCTGCTCAGCTCTAAGCTCTAGCCCCATACTAACTTTCGCTACGATTGGTCTATAATTGCGACCTGTGGAGTAATTGTAAAATATGGTAATTTTTCAGTTTTTGGTCCATTTCAACCTCTAATTATTATGCGATCATCTCCAAAAGCAATAGGCTTCTTTTCTGGCAGTACCCACACCTCCATTCTAAATTTCGTGAAGATCGTATGATTTATGGGAAAGATATTTGCAACACATAAAATGGTATTCGAGAAAGGATATTTTTTAAATTTATAGAAGTAGACTCCTATATTTCAATATTGAAATATTTATAAGGGGTTTATTATAGTTTTTAATTAAATACAAATATTCGAATAATTCCATCGGTTTATAAATCCTGCAAAAGTATAACCATTGCAAAACAACCACCAGTTGCGATATGTTTTAAAAATTCCCCCCACTTCCCCTACCATCCGTTTTTTCCGTCCTCAATGCAACAGTTCACTAATAGAATTTACTAATATTAATAAATTTAATTATACACATATATGTATCTGCATCGCTATTTGCTAATTGAAAATATTTACTTCAATAATGAAAATAGCCAAATGCCACGTATCGATGCTAAAACAATTATTTATTCGGAAATTATAATTTTTTTTATGAAAATTTAATAATATTTAATTAATGTAAACAGCATAGTGTTATGAACAATTAAATGTAAATATTCCACTGACATGGATGGCATGCAAAAATATTGAATTTTTCAAAATGAATATGTAAAATTTAACTCACATTTTAAATAAATTAAAATTTTGAAAAATTTTGTGAAAAGAGTAAAATAATTGACTTGCTGACTAACTTCCCAAAGTACAGGTTATGAAATGAAAAGTTCGACAAATAAAGGTTTGAAAAGTACGGCATCGAAAGAATCTTAAAGAAGTAAAATAGTATCAGTCGATTTTGTCGACAGATGTATACCCCCAGCCTTGAGTTATGATTATTCAAACTGTTGACCCTTTATGGGGGAGATTCCGAAGCCGCTCCTATTCGTATCTGTGACACATCACACCAGACCTGGGGTTAATAAAAATATTGTGTTGTGTGTAATTTCAAGAGAACTTGGTTATTCAAAAGTTTGACCCTGTGGGGGAGGTACCAGAAGGAATGGTCCGATATGTATCATCCTTATAACTGATCTTGTGCTTATAGAAATATTGAGATGGGTCAAGTCTGAATAAAATCGGGAGTTAATTTCGTGTTTCATGAGCTTCATGAATATTCAAAATGTTGACCCTTTTTTGGATTTACCAGAAGACCGATACATTCCATCATTACACCAGACCTTGAGTTATTGAAATT